TGACAACAATTTTAGCAATTGTGTAAAAAAGTAATTTAATTTAAAGTAATTTACACTTAAAACTTGAACAAATTATTGAAAATAATAAAAACTATGTTTTTACTTTGAATATACGACATCTACTTAACGCGTAATGACAAAGCCGTCAAAAAGAAGTCATAATGACATATTTATAAACAGGTCTCAGAAAAGACGTCTTTTAGCTTTGATCTAGACGTCTTTTAATGCGTATTTTAGACTATTTATTACGCGTCTTTTAAACGTATTTTTAAACTTTAAAAAGACGCATTTTAAACGTCATGTTAAAATCGCATTTATTAAAGACTTCTAGAAGATGTCTTTAAAAAAGATATCTTCTAGACGTTTTCTAGACGCTTAAAAAGACGCCTTTTAAACGTCATTTTAAAAACGCATTCATAAAAGACGTCTAAAAGATGTCTTTAAAACGTCTATAAAAGTGCGTCTTTACCTAGACTTGTTTTAGACGTCTATAAGTGTCTAAAATGCGTCTTGTGCTTACTGGGTAAATTTAAACTCTAACTAAGGTGTTTTAAAAGTATAGCCGTAACCACTGGAGGGCCAGGGAGGCCTTGGTCTCCCCGAAAATTTTTTTTTTTCAAATTATAATTATTAGGCAAAACATTTATGTAAAATATTTTTAACAAATATTTTAACCCATCCCTCCTTCAAAAGAACCATAGGCCCCCCAACATCATAACTCTGGTTACGGCTCTGAAGTATCATTAGAAACTGGTGGGATCATCATTTTATTTAACTGGATCTATTAAATGTCTGTTTTAGTGAAATGTTTTCACGATAATAAACAATCCATTACTTGAGAAACTTTTTCGATATTTAATGATTTAGTTTGTGGAGTAGACCACAATTAATCGTTTTTATAATACATTAGCCATATTAATTGAAATTCCTTTTGTTTGAGGTCCCTCGTATTCAGTTTATAAATATTATTTTACAAATTCCAGTGAGTAGATCGGGAATTTTTTTTTAATGTTAGTCTTTTTTTTAATGTTAGTCTTAAATGGTATTACACTTAAAGTTGCTCCTAAAAGTCAGCATTACGGCTTATTATTATTTTTTTAAATAATTAAGTGGTGTTAATAAAACTTAGAGATAATTTTGTTCTGTAAAAAGAATATAAACACGAACACAATGTTTTACCTAAAAACATTAAATGAATTAATAAAAACTATCTTCAATTTCAGATTAAACGCGGCAAATGGAAAACTTAGCGAATTATTTTATCGCTAATTATTATTTTTTATAAAAACCAAAAAAAAAAAAAATGCTTTTCACAGATTTTTTAAAAATATTATGTTATTTATTTAAAGCGAATAAAAACTAAAATATAAATGCATTAAAAACTAACTTTTTATAAAAAAATTATCAAAGTCTAATATAGGTATTCCGTATAAATCGCAAAAAACAGAAAAGTCCTAAATTATTAGCAATATTTTTACAACTTTAATTTTTATTCCGTTAAGTGCAAGTATTTATTTATCAAGGAAAGATGGATCTTTTTAAATTTTTTATTTGATAAAAACAATTATAGAAAAAAAAAAAAAAAACTTTTATTTTTAAGTTAGTGAATTATCATACTTTTACTTTTTTTTGTGATAAATTCGTGAATACATGCTCGCTTTTATAAAGATTAAAACAGCCGTGTACCATAAACCTGAACTCGGGCCCCAAACGATCTTGCTACGCCAATAAATTTAGTTATTATTATTTTTTTTCTTAATCACTTACTGTAGGTATTTTTAAAAGGTAAAAGTACACACAAAAAAATTGTTTAAACTTTGAAAGGAAGAAAAGAAATCATTTCGGAATTTTTTCTTCTAGAGTTTGCTTGAAAATGTTTCTCTGTTCTTTTATGTTCCACCAATCCAATGAGCTTTCCAATTTTTTTTCAATATCTTGTGGGATTTTATCCTCCACCATCACAAAACGTATTCTTTTTTTTTCATTCTTTAATTTTTTAAAACTTAGTCCACTAATATGGCACACCTGCTGATGTCCAGCAGGTGTGTCATATATAAAGATTATATTAGAGATAATCTACAAAAGATTGTTTTACCGTTGGATTTTAAACTGAGATTGAATAATATCATTCATCGATTTGTTTTCAAAAAGACGAATAAATAAGTTCAGTTTATTTTGGTGAATACGTTTTGATATGTCTTGAATTTTAAATAACGGGTGTAAATAATTTTTGCAATGTTTTGAAAGGTTGAAGAACGATTTTAATGGGCTTCTTCCGATTTTGTCTAGGTTTTGCATTGTTACGTCATTGGTTTTACAAAGTTCCAGACCGTAAGTTAATGTTGGTACTATTAAGGTATGATATAATTGTAAGATGGATTTTGGATAAACAAAACGTATTCCAGATTGAATAAGAGTTTGAACAGCTGTGCTAAAATTAGCAATGTTTACCTGATCAAGCGAGGCAAATGTAGAGTGCTCCGTATCCTATGTAAACTCT